TAATATTTCTTAAGAATTTCTTTCACATTGTGTTTCTTTATTTGCATTTATTTACAATAAAGAAACATCATTTTTTAAAAACAATTATCATGTTTCTATTTTATACTTGATGTAATGAATGCCACTAGAAGAACAATTTTCTGTTTATTCAGCTGTCAATTTAGTAGAAGATAGTGTTGTCAACCTAGAGACGTACAGATAAATAAATGATGGCATACATGTGCCAAAGATTAAAGGTGTTTGCTTCCCATGTTTAAACTTTCTCAATTTTTCATACCCAGCATGCTTTATCCAAGGCTTTGCATGAGAAATAATCCCTGGAAACCACTCTTTTTTCTCAATAAATTTACAATCTCAAATGCACTTCTGGTAAAATGAATGAAGTTGTTGTTATTTTCAAACAACCTGAATGTAGAGCTTAAATTGAAAAGTTAAATAAATTTTTCCTTTTTTTTGTATAAAAAACATTTGCATGAACATTAAGCCTATTAAAGTACTGAAGGTTGATTGACAGATAGCAAAGAATTCCCCTCAAACTGATGTTAGGTTGAAACTTCAGTCAGGTAGGAGTTTTTGCTTCATGTTGAAGGCCTAACTGTGACTTTGAGATGAATAGCGACAATAACTGCACTGTTCCTTTGTTTTTATACGACCGTACGGTTGTGTATTGGTATGATGTTGGCGTCGTTGTCGTCGTCCGAAGACACATTGGTTTTTGCACTCTAACTTTAGTTTAAGTGAATGGATCTCTATCAAATTTTACCATAAGGTTCAATACCACAAAAGGAAGGTTGGGATTGATTTTGGGGGTTATGGTACCAACAGTTCAGGAATTAGGGGCCAAAAAGGGGCCAAAAATAAGCATTTTTGTAACTTCCAGACATAACTTGTGTGTTAGTGTATGGATCTCTCTGACATTGTACCACAAGGTTCCATATCACAAAGGGAATGTTGGGATTGATTTTGGGGGTAATTGCCTCAAAATTTTAGGAATTAGGGGCCAAAAAAGGGGCAAAAAACAAGCATTTTTGTCGAGCCTGCGACTTTTGTCGCAGAAAGCTCGACATAGGGATAGTGATCCGGCGGCGGCGGCAGCGGCGGCGTTAGCTAACTTCTTAAAAGCTTTATATTTTAGAAGGTGGAAGGTCTGGATGCTTCATACTTTGTATATGGATGCCTCATGTTACGAAGTTTCCGTCAGTCACATGTCCAATGTCCTTGACCTCATTTTCATGGTTCAGTGACTACTTGAAAAAAAAGTTCAGATTTTTTGTAATGTTAGATTCTCTCTTATTATAAGTAATAGGATAACTATATTTGGTATGTGCGTACCTTGCAAGGTCCTCATGCCCGTCAGACAGTTTTCACTTGACCTCGACCTCATTTCATGGATCAGTGAACAAGGTTAAGTTTTGGTGGTCAAGTCCATATCTCAGATACTATAAGCAATAGGTCTAGTATATTCAGTGTATGGAAGGACTGTAAGGTGTACATGTCCAACTGGCAGGAGTCATCTGACCTTGACCTCATTTTCATGGTTCAGTGGTTATAGTTAAGTTTTTGTGTTTTGGTCTGTTTTTCTTATACTGTATGCCATAGGTCTACTATATTTGGTGTATGGAATGATTGTAAGGTGTACATGTCTAGCGGGCAGGTGTCATTTGACCTTGACCTCATTTTCATGGTTCAGTGGTCAAAGTTAATTTTTTGAGTTTTGGTCTTTTTTTCTAATACTATGTGCAATAGTTCAACTATATTTGGTATGTGCGTACCTTGCAAGGTCCTCATGCCCGTCAGACAGTTTTCACTTGACCTTGACCTCATTTAATGGATCAGTGAACAAGGTTAAGATTTGGTGGTCAAGTCCATATCTCAGATACTATAAGCAATAGGTCTAGTATATTCGGTGTATGGAAGGACTGTAAGGTGTACATGTCCAACTGGCAGGTGTCATCTGACCTTGACCTCATTTTCATGGTTCAGTGGTTATAGTTAAGTTTTTGTGTTTTGGTCTGTTTTTCTTATACTGTATGCCATAGGTCTACTATATTTGGTGTATGGAATGATTGTAAGGTGTACATGTCTAGCGGGCAGGTGTCATCTGACCTTGACCTCATTTTCATGGTTCAGTGGTCAAAGTTAAGTTTTTTAGTTTTGGTCTTTTTTTCTAATACTATGTGCAATAGTTCAACTATATTTGGTATATGCGTACCTTGCAAGGTCCTCATGCCCGTCAGACAGTTTTCACTTGACCTCGACCTCATTTCATGGATCAATGAACAAAGTTAAGTTTTGGTGTGTCAAGTCCATATCTCAGATACTATAAGCAATAGGTCTAGTATATTTGGTGTATGGAAGGACTGTAAGGTGTACATGTCCAACTGGCAGGTGTCATCTGACCTTGACCTCATTTTCATGGTTCAGTGGTTATAGTTAAGTTTTTGTGTTTTGATCTGTTTTTCTTATACTATATGCAATAGTTCAACTATATTTGGTGTATGGAAATATTTTATGATCTATTTGGCAGTCACGCAGGTTTTATTTGACCTTGACCTCATTTTCAAGGTTCGTTGCTCAGTGTTAAGTTTTTGTGTTTTGGTCTGTTTTTCTTAAACTATAAGCAATAGGTCAACTCTATTTGTTGTATGGAAGAATTGTTAGCTGTACATGCCTGCCTAGCATGGTTCATCTGACCTTGACCTCATTTTCATGGTTCATTGGTCAATGTTTAGTTTACTTGGTTAATGTTAAGTTTATGTGACAGTTGTAATAAAGCGTTATATTTTGACTATCAGATCTATTTGCCAAATAGATAATAAAATATTTCCATACACCAAATATAGTTGAACTATTGCATATAGTATAAGAAAAACAGATCAAAACACAAAAACTTAACTATAACCACTGAACCATGAAAATGAGGTCAAGGTCAGATGACACCTGCCAGTTGGACATGTACACCTTACAGTCCTTCCATACACCAAATATACTAGACCTATTGCTTATAGTATCTGAGATATGGACTTGACCACCAAAACTTAACCTTGTTCATTGATCCATGAAATGAGGTCGAGGTCAAGTGAAAACTGTCTGACGGGCATGAGGACCTTGCAAGGTACGCACATACCAAATATAGTTGAACTATTGCACATAGTTTTAGAAAAAAAGACCAAAACTCAAAAACTTAACTTTGACCACTGAACCATGAAAATGAGGTCAAGGTCAGATGACACCTGCCCGCTAGACATGTACACCTTACAATCATTCCATACACCAAATATAGTAGACCTATGGCATACAGTATAAGAAAAACAGACCAAAACACAAAAACTTAACTATAACCACTGAACCATGAAAATGAGGTCAAGATGACACCTGCCAGTTGGACATGTACACCTTACAGTCCTTCCATACACCGAATATACTAGACCTATTGCTTATAGTATCTGAGATATGGACTTGACCACCAAAACTTAACCTTGTTCACTGATCCATGAAATGAGGTCGAGGTCAAGTGAAAACTGTCTGACGGGCATGAGGACCTTGCAAGGTACGCACATACCAAATATAGTTATCCTATTACTTATAATAAGAGAGAATCTAACATTACAAAAAATCTGAACTTTTTTTCAAGTAGTCACTGAACCATGAAAATGAGGTCAAGGACATTGGACATGTGACTGACGGAAACTTCGTAACATGAGGCATCCATATACAAAGTATGAAGCATCCAGACCTTCCACCTTCTAAAATATAAAGCTTTTAAGAAGTTAGCTAACACCGCCGCCGCCGCCGCCGGATCACTATCCCTATGTCGAGCTTTCTGCGACAAAAGTCGCAGGCTCGACAAAAATGCTTGTTTTTTGCCCCTTTTTCTAGTTTCATGACAATAACTTGTGTGTAAGTGTATGGATCTTTCTGAAATTGTACTACAAGGTTCCATATCACAAAGGGAAAGCTGGAATTGAGTTTGGGGGTAATTGCCCAAAACATATAGGAATAAGGGGCCAAAAATAAGCATTTTTCTAGTTTCCAGACAATAACTTGTGTTCAAGTGTATGGATCTCTCTGAAATTGTACTGCAAGGTACCATACCACAAAGGGAAGGCTAGGATTGATTTTGGGGGTAATTGCCTCAAAATTTTAGGAATTAGGGGCAAAAAAGGGGCAAAAAACAAGCATTTTTCTAGTTTCAGGACAATAACTTGTGTGTAAGTGTATGGATCTTTATGAAATTGTACTACAAAGTTCCATATCACAAAGGGAAAGCTTGGTTTGAGTTTGGGGGTAATTGCCCTAAATGTTTAGGAATTTGGGGCCAAAAAGGGGCCTAAAAACAAGCATTTTTCTAGTTTCAAGACAATAACTTGTGTTCAAGTGTATGGATCTCTCTGAAATTGTACTGCAAGGTACCATACCACAAAAGGAAGGCTGGGATTGAGTTTGGGGGTGATGAATCATAAGGGGGTTCAAAAAATTTGGGGGAGGGATTTTTTTTTCCTTTTTTTTTATTTAAAATTTTCCATTTTAAATTGGTTATTTCTGATTTATATATAAAAGCAAATAATAATGATATGGTTTGAATAGGTAAATTAAAAAATTTTAAGTTCTTAGACCACATTCATTCAGTGTCAGAAACCTATGCTGTGTCAAATATTTAATCACAATCCAAATTCAGTGCTGTATCAAGCTTGAATGTTGTGTCCATACTTGCCCCAACTGTTCAGGGTTCGACCTCTGCGGTCATATCAAGAGGAGCATTTTATTGGTATTTACATATGTGTGTAGTGATTTTGTGTCATGAATTGATACACCGCATACTTTCTTTTCCTTTATAAAACAGAAGATTCACGAAAATTATATTACTAGTTTTTTGAATGATTAATATTGTGCTGTTGTTTATTGGTTCTTTTATCATTCAGTTGTGGCAATATGTAGTACAATGTATTATCAATGTTTTATAACTGAAAGATTGTGATTACATGTATATACATTTACAGAAAGTAACAGTACCTGCAGATAGCAATTGGAGTGGTACTTTGGCTGACTACATTCGTAACAATGATAAACCCCTTATTGAAGCATGTGATAAAGTATTACGTGGATATGAAGACGAGTTATTGCCGTGTGAGTCTGTGGCTGAAGTGATTGATGTTCTAGGTAAGTCTTTTTATCATATAGTGAAGTTAGTAGTATGCAGTAAGGCATAGGCTGTATTGATATCATCCGATGTTCATGTAAATATCTTTAGGTCAACCAGCGCAAAAATTAAATTGTTTGGAGTTCAATCCCCTAACTTGAAATTTGTGTTTTGTCAAATATTTCTATAGTGTTTTTGACTTTTGCACACTTTTTGATATGGAACGTTGCGGGGAAATAGAAATATCAGGTGTCTGTCCGTCATCTGTCCATCTGTTCTTGTAAACGCTCTCTCGTGTACAATTCTTGCCAGATGTTTATGAAACTTACATCATAGGTTTATAGGTTTATATCAGGAATGTCTCTGACAACTTCAAAAATCAGTGCCTATTAATTATTTTTAGAAAAGTTGCACTCCTTGGAAATTTTCATTATATGGAAAACTGCATTGTTAGCACTGTATTGTGTACAATTCTCGCCAAGTTGTTATGATACTTATATAATAGATTTGTATCAGACAAGTTAGAAAATCAGTGCCGATCAATTATTTTTAAAAGATTAATACCCCTTTACAATATTAATTATATGGAAAATTGCATTGTATTTGCTCTCAAGCCTATTTTTCTCTAAGATATATAAAAAGTTTTAAAGAACAAAAAAAATTCAGATTATTTTAGTTATTGCTCTTGGATATATAAAATATGAGCAACATGGGGGACATTGGTAACTCTCTTCTTTTATTAAACTATAAAAGAATGGCTTTCAGAAAATGTAAATATAAGCCATTCCTTGATTACACTATGTGATTGTGACATCATTAATGTGACAGATCTTTGTCAAAAATAGATAAACTTCGGAAACAGTTTGGGCTAAGTTTGCATAGAGCTAGCGTAGAGCTAACATTGTGTCATTAAAAATCTTTGTCAGTGAATACATAAACAAAAAATATACCTCCTGTGTGAATACTTTTTTGGATGACGGTCGTGCTTTTTATTATTGCTAAGCATTTACAAGTCACATAGTCAATAATTTGCGTAATTTCTATATTTTACTGGATTAACTTGTCATTTTATGGCTGATAGACCCATAAAAAGAATATATTTTAAACAAAAACTGCAAAGTTTTATTAAAAGGCATAAATTCAAATTTTATTTTTGCTAAGTAGGGATAGTTTGTAACACACATAATTTTTAGAGTCAAATTGACCCTAAATTGTCCACTCCTTTGACAAATTGTTTAAATGGAAAAATGTTGTCACTGTCTAAATAAGATAAATGTATTTATTATATACTTAGTAAGTAGTAAATACAAGTAAATTGTATGTGTAATACAATCAATGGCAATCTTGCTATATCAGCCATCAATGTTGATATCGATATCAGTCACAGTTTTTATACGCCCGTTTACGGGACGTATTTTGGTATACCGTTGTCCGTCTGTCTGTCTGTCCGTCCGTCCGTCCGTCTGTCCGTCCGTCGTCAACATGTCGGACATTAACTCAAAAACGCTTTAACCAATCTGCATAAAACTTTGGTGAATTGTTTATATCTATTGACGTGAGCTCCCTTTCGTTTTTTATAAATTTTAGATTTTAAGTTTCCGAGTTATGGGGTTTTATTCATTAAAAAAAGGGTGATTTTCCAGTTTTCGGACAATAACTCATGAATGCTTTCACCAACTTGCAAGAAATTGTGGTGAATTGTTTATATCTATTGTCATGAGCTCCCTTTTGGTTTTTATATATTTTAGATTTTACGTTTCCGAGTTACAGGGTTTTATTCATTAAAAAAGGGGGGATTTTCCAATTTTCGGACAATAACTCAAAAATGCTGTCAGCAATTCTCATGAAACTTTGGTGAATTGTTTATATCTATTGGTGTAAGCTCCCTTTACATTTTCATAAATTTCTAATATGACATTGAGAATTAATTGAACTGTATTTGTTTATAGTCTGACAACAGATTTACTAAGTATTGCGCAACAGCACAGTGTATTGCACAACAGCAAGAAATCTTTAATTGAATATAAATTCAATTCATATAACCAATTTCAAGTTCTTTGACTACATTTATTCAGAAACCTATAATATGTCAAATATTTAATTACAATCCAAATTCAGACCTGTATCAAGCTTGAATATTGTGTCCAATTTTGCCCCAACTGTTCAGGGTTGGACCTCTGAATGGCGTATCCAGCTGCGCTCAGCGAAGCAGTTTATTAGGGTTTTATAAAACCCCTAATCTGTATAGCATTGTGTCAATTTCCTTGAGGTATATAATAATTTTTAGAGTCAAATTGACCCTAAATTGTCCACTCCTTTGACAAAATGTTTAAATGGAAAAATGTTGTCACTGTCTAAATAAGATAAATGTATTTATTATATACTTAGTAGTAAATACAGATAAATTGTATGTGAAATACGGTCAACGGCAATCGTGCTGTATCAGCTATCCGTGATGATATTGATATCAGTCACAGTTGAAAAGGCTTTATCACACCTTTAATCTGTATGACGTCACGTCATCAATTTCAGTCACTGTTGCACAGGCTTTTTAACAAACCCCTAATCTGTATGACGTCATGTCAAACCTCTAATCTGTATGACATCATGTCAAACCCCTAATCTGTATGACGTCATGTTACATAAAAAACATCTACTCGAGGTATATATATAATAAAGTGTATATGATTTGGCTTTTTCAATATTACACACCGTATCAACCCTCAACCGATATAATCCCTCGATCTGAGCTCTTTGGATTATATTGGTGTCTCGGGTTGATACGGGTGTGATATTGAAAAAGCCATATGATATTCTCTATATATATGATATGGCTTTTTCAATATCACACTCGTATCATCCTTTAACCAATATAATTCATCAAGCAGAGCTCTTTGCATTATATTGGTGTCTCAGGTTGATAAGGGTGTTATATTGAAAAAGTTATATGATATTCTTTATTTCTCTATTTATTTGGCAATTTAACCCTTTCTGGACCCATTGTATAAAAAGATGTAGTCAACGTGTGGTTGCCAATAATCTCAGAAGATGATTGGCTGAGTTTAAGGGCCGTAACCTTTATCAGCTTATTGGATGAATTGAAATGTGCTAACAGGTGTTAGAGAAATTGACAACTTTGTTGAATATGGAAGGCACACGAAGGGGATTTTTCGCTTATCAAAAATGTTTTTTTATTTTAGTTCATTTATATGTTTTGGAGTTTAGTGTGACGTCCATTTTCTTTGAACTAGTACACATTTTTGTTTAGGGGCCAGCTGAAGCCTGCCTCCGGGTGCGGGATTTTCTCGCTGTGTTGAAGACCCATTGGTGGCCTCAACTGTTTTCTGCTCTTTTGGTCAGGTTGTTGTCTCTTTGACACATTCCCCATTTCCATTCTCAATTTAATAATTTATTAGATAATCATTAGAGAAACAGATTCTTACATAGTTCCTCGTGAATTATTAGATTTATCCAATCTTGATAGTTAAATTATTTAATTTTACTATCTCGATTAGATAAATCCAATAATCCACTGGTACCAATGTAAGAATCTATATATATAAGACTTTATTATCGGTACTTTCACGACTTGAGAATTGAGAAACATTTTTATTTTTGGCGAAAAAATATAATGAAATAAGTGTGGCATTTTAAATTCTGATTGCATTAATTGTATTCAGCATTTCCTGAAATTTTATTTATCATTCTTGCATTTTTTTTCCCTCAAGATTTAAGAAATTATCAATTTTCAAAAAAAAAATTGGGGGTCACAATTTATTTTGCTAATTCTTTGTATATAGTCTGAAAACAGATTTACTAAGTATTGCGCAACAGCACAGTGTATTGCACAACAGCAAGAAATCTTCAATTGAATATAAATTCAAATCATATAACCAATTTCAAGTTCTTTGACTACATTTATTCTGTGTCAGAAACCTATAATGTGTCAAATATTTAATAACAATCCAAATTCAGACCTGTATCAAGCTTGAATATTGTGTCCATTTTTGCCCCAACTGTTCAGGGTTGGACCTCTGCGGTCGTATCTAGCTGCGCTCGACGAAGCACATTTTTATCAACAATGGAACAATATAGAAATCAACCTCTATCCTTGTTAATTATGATGCACAATGGTCCTTTAAAATGACAAGTAGACAAATAAATGCTAAATTATGAAGTTCCCATAATGCAACACAATTATGAATTTCACCATTGCAATAATGAATGCACACTTAATCTATGGTATTTTTGTGTTCACTATAAGTAATTATTTTAATTATATTTTTGCAGGTTTGTTATCAGATATACCAGACTCGACAGCTTTTATGACAGAACTGATGAGTTCCATGCCATGAATGTAGACTTTGTTTTAGTGGATGCTTCAATATTTTTATAAAGACATTTGCTTGTGAATTTTACTTCATATATAATTGTTCCGAAGTTTACTTCTTATAAAACTGTTTAGAATTTTCCTTCATAGAAAATTGTTCAGAATTTTACCACATATATAATCGTTCAGAATTTTAGGGATCATAGATTTATTCTTATGAGGAAGCTCCGAGCATGCTCGGAGGATGCTCAGAGCTTTTTCAGTAGGCTCTTCTCTGCAGTTTATGTGAAAATAATTATCATGATCCATTAAGATGTCAATCAAATCTACACCACTTCTATAATAAGGAAAGTAGAGCATTATAGAGGAAGCTCAATTAACACCTGTGTAAACATCTAATCTATTCAAATACATTTTGCCTGAAATTTTACAAAACTATAGAATAGATTAGAAATTCTTCAACAGTACTGTGTAATGCTTGGAAAGAAATCTCATGTCTCCACAAAAAGTGAAAGTCTTTAACAAAAAATATACAATTATTATATTTTTAAAATAATCATTTCTTTTTTTATAATAAAAAAAATTCTCAAATTTTATAATTAGATATGATTTAAATATAGTTTATATTATATAATATGCTACATAAAAGTTATCAAGACACATACAACAGTTAGGCGATACTAAACAAGTTATTTTTTTTAGTTACTTATATTAATAGGTATTTTTTGTTTTTTTAAATTATTTGATATAATCTCAATTGTTATTTTAAATGTCAAAAGTGGACTAAATGTAGTTTTTAAGAATTTTTATATCATTTCATTAAGTAAAATTAAATATTTATCCAACTTGAGATGAGTATAGAGAGATTACTTTAAAAATAATGACAAAAATATTACTTTTATAAATTATTTTATACATCTTCGAAAAACTAAGCATACTTACAATTACATGTATTTAAGGAACATATGTAATTGTTTTTGATAAATATTTCAAATTATAAATAACTTCAAGTCTTAATTAAATCACAAGGTTCCATCCATTTATATTTGTTCATCTCTAAGATTTTGAAGGAAAATGTTATTTTAATAGCCCCAAGAGACCAATCTATGACCAAGAAGTGTGGCATCAGAAAGGCAATTAGTGTTTCAGGAGGATTTAAATAGTTTTATACTGCATGGGGAAAATAACCAGATGTGAAAATTTGTTAAAGCTTGTAAAACCTGTATGAATGGACACCTATAGAAATAATATTAACAGAAGTTACTTATTCATGATATATAAGTAATATTTGAAACAACCTTGTTTTCAATATAACTTGTATAGGTTATTTTGAAAATTACTAGTTTAAGTAATGCCCTTAACTAAACAATGGTATTTTTTTTTATAAAATAGCAAAGTTAGTTTTTTATATAAAATATTTTTGCAATTTTAGGGGACATGGCTACTAAAGCTTGTAAACAGAGAAAAAAAAAGGGGGATAGAATTTGGTTGGTTAATTCTGGTGATGTCTTCTTTCTAATATGCACTGAAAAATTATGTTGTTTTATTACTATAGTACAGGACAAGAAAAAACTTTACTCATTTCAAGTATTTCTTTATTTAAAACATAGATAAATTCTGCACATATTTTTGGAAAAATACCAATTAAACAAAGACTGATAGGGGGAAACAATTTTATATTACGGTAGATTTTCATTCAAGTACAGGTCAGGATAAAACTTCACTTCTTTATTTAAAATAAAACCAAATCTGCACAATTATAAAAAAAATGACAATTAAAGTGAGACGTACTAGAGGGAAAACAATGGTGGTATTACCTCCTCAACCTTTCTTAGAGTAGCCATAATTTTTTTTATAAAAAACTAACTTTGCTATTTTATATAAAAAAAAAAATTATCATTGTTTTAATAGTTAGGGGCATTACTTAAACAAGTAATTTTCAAAATTACTTATACAAGTTATATTGAAAACAAGGTTGTTTCAAATATTACTTATATATCATGAATAAGTAACTTCTGTTAATATTATTTCTATAGGTGTCCATTCATACAGGTTTTACAAGCTTTAACAAATTTTCACATCTGGTTATTTTCCCCATGCAGTATAAAACTATTTAAATCCTCCTGAAACACTAATTGCCTTTCTGATGCCACACTTCTTGGTCATAGATTGGTCTCTTGGGGCTATTAAAATAACATTTTCCTTTAAAATCTTATAGTTGAACAAATATAAATGGATGGAACTTTGTGATTTAATTAAGACTTGAAGTTATTTATAATTTGAAATCTTTATCAAAAACAATTACATATGTTCCTTAAATACATGTAATTGTAAGTATGCTTAGTTTTTCGAAGATGTATAAAATAATTTATAAAAGTAATATTTTTGTCATTATTTTTAAAGTAATCTCTCTATACTCATCTCAAGTTGGATAAATACTTAATTTTACTTAATGAAATGATGAAAAAATTCTTAAAAACTACATTTGGTCCACTTTTGACATTTAAAATAACTATTGAGTTTATATCAAATAATTTAAAAAAACAAAAAATACCTATTAATATAAGTAACTAAAAAAAATAACTTGTTTAGTATCGCCCCCTGACTGTTGTTTGTGTCTTGATAACTTTTATGTAGCATATTATATAATATAAACTATATTTAAATCATATCATCTAATTATAAGATTTGAGAATTTTTTTTATTATAAAAAAAGAGATATGATTAATAAATATAATAATTGTATATTTTTTGTTAAATGACTTTCACTTTTTTGTGGAGACTTGAGATTTCTTTCCAAGCATTACACAGTACTGTTGAAGAATTTTTTATCTTTTCTATAATTTGTAAATGTCATGCAAAATGTATTTGAATAGATCAGTTGTTTACACAGGTGTTAATTGAGCTTCCTCTATAATGCTCAACTTTCCTTATTATAGAAGTGGTGTAGATTTGATTGACATCTTAATGGATCATGATAATTATTTTCATATAAACTGCAGAGAAGAGCCTACTGAAAAAGCTCCGAGCATCCTCCGAGCATGCTCGGAGCTTCCTCATAAGAATAAATCTATGATCCCTTACCAAACAAAAAACTCATCAGAATTTTACTTAAACAAAAAACTGTTCGGAATTTTACCACACATAAAGTTGTTCAGAATTTTACCATACATAAAACTGTTCCTTTATTTATTAACATGATTAACACATAAAACTGTTCAGAATTTCACCACACATGAAACTGTACAGATATGTTACACACAAAACTATTTGAAATTCAATTATCAGTATACTCTTATATGTAGATTATATAACTGTATCCCATGCAATATGATATTTGTACTCTTCATACAATATTTGATTGTGTTAAAGATAGCCTCCATGGTTTATGTGAAATTTGGAATTTGCGTCAGAATTTTCATAAAATTTTCACAAAATATTTACTTTGATCTGTTGACAAAAATATAAAAAATTTCTGAAATTTGAACCACACAATTTATAGGAATAATTTCATTTGATATATAGCAGTTTGACAAACTAATTTTTTATCATTGAGAGAAGCTTAATTTCTCTGATACTAAAAGCATGTGATTAAAACATTCAGCTGATTTTTATGCCCCACCTAGGGGCATTATGTTTTTCGGTCTGTGAGTCCATTCGTTTGTTCGTCCATCTGTCTGTCTGTCCCACTTCAGGTGAAAGTTTTTGGTCGTTCAGGTTAAATTTTTTGGTCAAAGTAGTTTTTGATGAGGTTGAAGTCCAATCAACTTGAAACTTAGTACACATGTTCCCTTTGATATGATCTTTCTAATTTTAATGCAAAATTATAGTTTTGACCCCAATATCACGGTCCACTGAACATAGAAAATGATAGTGTGAGTGGGCCATTCGTGTACAATGGACACATTCTTGTTTTAACTCCCTTAGGTGCTCTGTACCCTCTGAATGTAAACTTATTTAGGTCAAATTATTTTTCTTATTTATTGTTGCTTTGATTGTTTTGTATAAAGAGAAAATGATTTATGGATAAAAAAAAATATTATTTGAGAAAATATTTGACTTTATAACATAAACATGCTTAAGATTCTGAAAAAAGCTGCCTTCCAGTTTCGGTTTTTTATAATTCCATAAGGGGCCTTGGTGGCCAAGTGGTCTAAGTAGTTACTACTGTAATCACTAGCCAGTCAACACTGAGGTTGTGAGTTCGAACACCGCTCGTGCGGGTGCACTCGACTCCAATCTTTATTGACTAGGATTGTCAGTTTTCCTACCGAAGGTCGTTGGTTTTCTCCGGGTACTCCGGCTTCCTCCACCAATAAAAACTGACTGCCACGAAAAAGCCCAAAAGCGGTGTTTAAAAGTGGCGTTAAAACACCAAAAATCAAAATCAAATCATAATTCCATATACAGTTTAAAATGATTAATAATGTAATAAATACAAATCGGTTTACTGATTAATTAGTTTGGTAATACTGTGGATTCAGTTACTTTTAGTGGGTACCAATTTTCAGGGATCGAGAAAAAAAAATGTTTTCTTGGATATTGGATATGGTTTATCAAATTTATTCTGCATACAAGCAAATAGAAAATTCACATTTTGTTGAACATATATAAATTAGTGGAAAACCACGAAATCGCAAAAAAATTAAGTGTCGCCACCAAGAATAATGAATCAACAAAAGTTAAAAATTTGCTACTGTACAACTTTTATTTCAAACAGGTATAAATATAATATTATAGTAATGTGTTAAACTGTTTAAAATTTGTTTGCGTTGCAGAAAATGAACAAATCAATTGGTATTTGTAGGTATGCGTTAATGTAATTTCAGTTAACTTTAAAATTCAGAAAATGATTATAGATTTTATGTCATTGTTTAAAAAATCAGCTTCCTTAGATATGTTTCAATGTTTGCTTCTTGTGATAAAAGCTTGATGAAACAGATGACTTATTTTTATTGTATGTCTCCAGTATGAAAATAAGGAGATGTGGTATGATTGCCAATGAGACAATTATCCATCAGAGTTCAAATGAAGTGGATGTAAGCAACTTCAGCAGTTTTTAGAATAGAGGAATTGGTCCAAACGGAAATTTTGACTAAATGCTATTGTGTTTTGTCAGTTAAGTACCATCTGTAAAACTTTTGAGGAGAAAAA